TCACCCAAGGGATAAACGACAAATGCTGTTACAGGCTGTATAAGCCTTGCTTATATTCTAAGGTTGTGCATTTGATAATAGTGCCCATATAGCCCAAACTTTATATGGACATCACTCTTTTTTTTTTTTAAGTAGAGAAGATGTTTAATTCATTGAGTGATGTGGAAAGTTTCAGGTATTTAAAAGGTTAGGATTTGATGAAAAATGGAGGGTCACAATGTTCTGCAAGGTAGGGATGGGTTTGGCTGTGATGCTTAGGCGATCCTCTCTTGAAAGAAGAATGAGTTATGGAAGGTGACTGACATGAGCTTAAAATGCAGCCTCAGATTTCCAGATTCCATCAGCTCTGGATGTCTTCAGACTAACCTGACTAGAAGTATGAGAGGTCATTCTGTTTGTGTGCAATTCACTGCTTGGGGCAAATTAAACTCTGCCGAGTACTGAAGAATCTGTTGGGAATAGCCTTTTCTCACGGGGAATCCAGAGAACAGCACCTACTGAGTCCTCAGTTCTCTGCATGACAGTGTCAGCCACATGATGACAAGACCTTTGAGTCTTAACTCCTCATGTTAAACCAGGTACACGTGAATTATATGTATTTTTGGTAACTGTTAGCAATAATAACTTTTGCATTTTGTACTACATAAACCGTGCTCAGTTACAGCTTTACATCTTCTGGTTTTAGGAAGTGCTTCTTCAAAACACTTGTAGAATAAGCTACAGGATGCCACCACTAAACTCCATTACCCACACATCTTCTGCAGTCCTCTACCCAAAATACCTGGGAAGTCAGATCTCTTTGCTAGCTCACCCAGCTCACTGAATTGAGCTTGATTTTAGTTATGTGTTACTTGCTGTCTGAAGCAAGTGCTGTGCATTCCTTCTACCTGCTGACTTTGTGTTTCAGGCCTAGCAAAAATCTCCTAATAGTCTGCGATGCCTGTTGTATCGTGTGCTAGACAACATCACAATATAACGTGGGAAAGGGCAAATGCTCGTAAAGGTGTGTTGTTCTACACTTTTGCCCTGAAACCTTCTGGAATGGGATTTCACGCTTGTAGAAGAGGAGGAGATTTTAGGGTGCCCTTGGCATGTGGGGCTACTTTTGCTTCGGAAAATTGGCGGAAACCGAACTTAGTTCGGGAACACTACCCTTAGAAACTGCAGGCAGATGAACTAGATGTCTTCAGTGTCCAGGGTTGTAAAAGCAGTGTCTGTGCAAGCACCAAGGCCACTCTAACATGGAAAAAAAAAAAAAGGAAGAAAAAGTATACGTGTGAGTGTGCACACCCACACATATGCAGAATTTGATAAACTCTTTGGCTATGCGCTGAAAGGATTTTATTCAAAAAAGTCTTAATGACATACTTTGTACATGATTTCAAAAGGAGGACTGAAAGCCGCTGTTAGTAGATGGGTAATACTTCACTGAGCATCACATTTTCTGTTTCTTTGCTCATCTAGTATTGGCCTTCTTCTGTCTTTCTCACACTGTTTTTAATGAAAGAAAATCCTGCTGTATTCCTCTCAAAATTCTTAATTTAGAATATTTTTTTAATACCTTGCAAGATGGTTTTCTCATCTTTCAAGATGCTTCATTTCTCTGTTTTTGCTTATTGTCTGAGGGTCCAGTGCATTTGTTTGCAGGAATGTATGTAAGAAAAATTGAATTCTAAACCTGTCAGTTAATGAAAAAAATGTGGTTCACATAAAGACTCTTTGAATTGAATTTTTATCTCACGTTTCCCAAAGGTGCCTGGCGGAGGACTCTGGGGATGTGGCCTTCGTGAAGCACTCGACAGTGTTTGAGAACACAGATGGTACTTGGTTTTACAGTCTTTATTATAATTCAGTTAATTTTCTTGAACTTTTTTGCTCTAAGGCATTCAATGAGTGACAATGACAAATTTCTTATTTCAGGTAAAAACACCGATAGTTGGGCCCAAAACTTGAGGTCCAGTGATTTCCAGTTACTGTGTCCAAATGGTGCCCGTGCTGAAGTCACCCAGTATGCTGAGTGTCACCTGGCTCAGGTGCCAGCTCAGGCCATTATGGTTCACCCAGATACCAGGATTTTTGCTCTATATGGACTACTGGACAAAGCCCAGGTATTAATAATCCATTTATTCTACGGGGGAATGGTCTAACACAGACCAAGGATAAAGACAACAGGACCATACTGCCATATTATGACCCCTGCATCATGAGACTGGCAGCATGTGCACTGTGCAGAGTCCTGTTGTTGGAGTGGGATGGAGAAGGTGAAATACAACCCATGTAATTCTAGGGAGACCACCCTGCTGCACAAGGGATTTCAACTTTTTGCTCAGCCACTGGTTTCAGTAGTACTCTTCCTGGAGCTTAAGGTGTTTTCCTTAACTGCATGACTTTGAAGTCTACAAGAAAGAGAGTACATGCTAACACTTTTCCATCCTGGAGTTTTCCTAGGAATGCAACAGAATATTGCTGGGTGTATTTATGCTGCGGCCGTGCACATGGTAAACCATCCAGGCAGACCATGGCTGGCTGCCACAGCTAGGTTCTTGTCAATACTGAAGTTAACTAGTTTAAAAGCAATACTGAGTATCTCCATGCTAGGCTTCAGTCGCTTCTGTAACTCCTGTGCAGCCAAACTCTGTATTGCAGAACAATATTGTAGACAGAAAATGTTTTAAAAATACAGCTCTTTCCAGATAGTAACTAAAAAACCAAAATCACAGATGTTGTTCTTGTAATTGCCAATGGCAGAATTATGTATTTAATCTATTGGAGCATCTAAAAGCAAATGCGCAAGAGAGATTCTGCAATTTTTTATGAACTTTTCATCTACAAACCCGTTCCTATCGTCTTTCATGTTGTACGAGAGGAACGTGGCACTTCATCTTGCAAAATACTGAAAACTTTGCTTTTTTTTTTCAGGTCTACTTTGGAAATAGCAGCAATGGAAATGGATTCAAAATGTTTGATTCTTCAACTTTTCACGGAAAAAACTTGATCTTTAAGGATTCTGCTGTTGAGATTGTGCCAGTAGAAGAGAGGAGGACGTATGCAAAATGGCTGGGGAGTGAATATATTGAGTCTATTGAAGGGATGCAAACACCACAGTGCTCTGGAGCAGGTAATAAGTTAAGACAATACCTACTGGCGACTACTGTTGTTCCCCTTCTTACTTTATGTCAGATACAGAGCTTGAACTAGCATGGTCCAAATGGCAACTTCCAGGCCTTCCCTCTGCTCTACCATCTTTTCTTCAGATAAGCTGCTGTTTGGATAACATGTTGTGCTAACATTTGAATGCCTCTTCCTGCCTCTTTGCAGGGCAAGTGCTAACAGCACCTGCTCGTCAGGGGAGTGGGGTGGGGCTGGAAGCTGCCCCTGTCCATGTGGATGGGTGGAATTTGGGGCAGAAGCCAGCAATACAGTGTCAGCGTGGTTTTCAAGATCAGTCTAAAACTGGAGCATCTTTGCCATCGTTGCTGATGTTGAACCACCCTGGGCTGGAGGATTCCCAGGTGCTGTTAGATGGATACTGGGTTTCTGACCTGTAGAAGAATTTCTGCATCTGGGAAGGCAGTATCAAAAACCTTGTCTAGTGAATCCTCTCTGGCCTCCTGGCTCGTTACGTTCAGACTCCTACATCCCTGCTTATCCCATCCTACCCTTGCTGGGGGCAACGGTTTCTTCTGAGCTCTGCTGCCAGAAGAGGTAAGTGCACAGAGGATGGACAGACTATGGACAGAGAGATGACCTGCAGTCCAGAATACAGCTGCTGCCACGGGCAAGGTCCTTCACCTTCCAGTGGAAGAAAGTAGGGGGGAATCTCCAAAGTCACTGGACAAAAAAGGCGGCCAGAGAGATTTGGTGGGGAGTACCTGTCAGTAGAGAAAAGAACAAAGCCAAGTGTGTGCATCCACTGAGCTTGTTGACTTTCCACAACCAGTACTCTCACTGCTTGAGGGGAGATGTCATCTGCCCTGTGATCTTTAATTTGATGCAATCTCCATCTCAACTTCTGGCTGTCCTGGGGTTCCCTCGAGTGCCTGTGCATTAAACTTGTATTTGCTGTGAATGAAACGAAGTAGTTCAGTTCTGATTAACTGTTGCTCTATCTACTGGCTTGTAGCATTTGGTTTTTATTTTTATCCATAGCTGCAATAACAACCAATGTTGCTGTGCTGCTGGCAGGCAGCGTCCTCTTGACTACAGCCAGCACCACCTCCTGATCCTGGGATGAAAAGACTTTCAGCGTAATAAAAACCTGGCAAAATCAGATAATAACAGTAACAGTGTAAATAATTGAAAATAATAAATAAACATGAGAAGTCATTACAATTTCTCCAGACGTCGGCCTGATGGCTAAGCTGCTCCTTTTCTCGCTTCTCTGGGCGGTTAACGCTTGCCCCTCGCTTCTCTGCCCGCCCGTTTCGCTTGCTCCGAGGACACCTGCCCTTCAGCGGGAAGGCGGCAGGACCCGGCCCGCCCCGCCGTTCTGGATGCGAGAGCTGTGTGGGCAGCAGCGAGCAGGGACACGGTGCCCCGGCCCCAGAGCCCCAGCTGCTGGCCAGGGGTCACCCCGACGCGGTGACGACGCTTTTCCGTGTCTCTGGGTCAGTCTGCGGTCGATTTCGGAGTTCAACTTCACGCTGCGCTGCCCGGGGGCGGCGGGCGCAGTCCCGCGGAGCGGAGGCCGCTGCGCATGCGCGCCGGGCTCCCGCTGCGGCGC